GAATTCCTCATTCCTGGAATCCTGTTTTCCAAACAACCGAAGAAATATTAGGTGTTTTGTTCGGGTAGGCCGTGAAAACATCACCGCTTGTTGATCGCGGTAGATGAAATCTTTTCCGGCTGATATTTTCGAGGGCGAGGTCAGAGGTAAACAGCATTCTTCAAATATGAGGTGACTGACCGTCTGAAGCGACACGCACGCTGGATGACATAATATGTTTGGCCTTGACATGAATTCTATATTTACGCTGCATCACAAAATAAATATCACAAGGTTTTTACATTTAAACGGATCACATGTTATGCAAGCATTCAAGCATGTCATCTAAATTTTAGTTGGTAAAGTTGCAATGTGAAGAAACTTTATTATTTAAGCCATAAGTAATTGGTCGACTCTCATTAATTAGAGTTCGATTTGAGAACGTAATCCTGGCAATCACAATGCTGAATTACAATCATTCGAGAAATGCGAAATGAATTTCTTTTAAACCGAATGTAGAAGGGCTGCTATGGCTATTGTTTTCGATTATTTAATTTTCTTGAAATTTGAGCTTAATAAACATATTGTGGCCAGGGAATGAAACTTGACCTAAGGAAACCTAAAGCAGCCGCTCTAATTGGAGGTGGACTTAGAAGTAATTTAAACCAACGCATATAGTGACGTAATATGGGATATTATATATTACAACGTTACCATCCCTAACAGTTATATAGCGTAACAGCTATAGTATGCCAGAGTCAGTAGCTCATTAAATCCTAGAATAAGATTTGAACTCGAATCTAACTGAAGTAGGCAGTCCATGCAATCAATTTAGTGTTATTTACTTCAGATTTCGTTCTTGTATCATTTAATATTATGAGTAGAAGCTATAAAAAGTGAAAAACTGTATACAGCTCCTATATAAAGTTCTTTCAAAAAATCACTCACTCGACAATAATTCTATACTTCACCGAGAGGAATTGTTATCAATTAAAACTTGATGCTACGCTAATCAATTGAACTCCATAGAATTTGTCTAAACTATGAAGCAAATATTTCAGAACAGCAAGCATCAATATTGCATCCGCTTTTTCATCACTCTGATCATAGCTGAATCTATTCGGATGTTCCCGTATCACAACTCAGGACAAAAACCAAGATTCGCAGAATTTTCACGTTACCATTTCCTATATATTAAGCATTTGTATTTGTTAAACGAATTTTTTATACAAGCAAAATTCGAGTTGAAGGCACAGGCAGCATATCTCAATGTTAAAACTGCATTACTATACATCGTAGCACTATAAATACGTTAACGTGTCTCTACAAATAGTGCAAATTAGCTGCACCAGTTTAAAGCAACAACACAAAAGTTGAATCACGCCTCCGTTAGAGTGAACATAGGGACAGCATCAGCACATGCAATTAAGTTACGTATGCTTTTACGAGCAGCAAACTGATCAGGTCTCATTCCTATTCATCGCCAAGGTCATTGTGAGCGTGTCATTACGTGCCAAATTACCTCGCAATGAACTGTTCAATGCATGAAAAACTTCCCTCACTTTACCGACGTTTCTTTCCTAGCTGCATTGTTCTCCCGTAATGAGTGGAATCATTTTTCACGCTTGTCATTCAAATCCTACAGGAAATCATTCAGAAACTCGTTGCGCATCCGTTTCCCGGCTGTCTTTTCTGCAAGAGGAACAATTGCAGTATTGCTTTCATTGCTAAAAAGCATTGCCAGGAATGCTATACATACAACTGCTAACAGGACGAGTTCACATGCAACAAGAAAATAAGCGTGTGTGATGAGTGTCCACTCGCCATCTGTTTATTTGAAGCGCCCTATATATGTCATTGAAATTTAAAAAGTTTTTATTCATGTAGGACTACACTCGTATATTAGGACTTTCGGTTACTTAGGCTACCGGAGGATGGTTGGAACAGAAATTGAAGTGACGACAGCAAAGCAGCTTGTTATAATTATAATTCAACATTTTCAGGCCGTTTGCTTGTCTAATTACAGTGTCGTCGTCGTAGCGTGCGAATGCTTGTAATGGTGTCTGAATAGCCTTTTCGAAAGGTACTCTAGAGTTTAGAGGGTATCATCCCCACCCGCACCCTCTCCTATTGAGGGTATCATCCACACCCGATCGAGGAATCTGATCCATGGCTCCATATATCAGTGTCTTGCTGCGCTAAAAGAGAAATAACTATTCAATTATAGCAGTAGTTTTCTTAATAATAATCCGATGCTGAAAATATTCATACTATAACTTTATCAGAACTTGTGCCAACCTAAGCTACCAGCTCTATACATTATTGAATAAGTTGATGCAAAAAGTGTGCTATTCAAAAGACTTGAATTCGTGAACTAAATTGATAGTGACCAAGCTTGACGGATGGTTGCTGATCAAACGAGTTGGTAAGATAGTAAAAAAATTCTATGAACACATTTGTCGATTAATATCCAAAATAATCCAATGAGCATTCAAATCTTTCTAAATTAAAATATTTAAGTATATCTTAATAATTTATTCAAATACCTAATTAATTTGAGCCTAGTTTTGCTATTTACGTGAATTCCCATTATGCTCGAAATAATATAATCGCATGCAAACTAGATGCATTCTCTAAACCTCCCAAAAAAATTTTTTTGTTCAAAGTATTATTTGAGGAAAATATAAGAATTATTATTTGTTTTCAATCATATAAAAATTTTGTAATATAATAGTAACATTTTTTATATAATTTACCAATATAACCATACGACTCTCCCATACTTATATAATATTCGGATATGATTGATGGACAAAAACAAATATAAGATCAAATAAGTCGTTATTCACCAGAGGAAGATTTAGGTAGCTTAGGATAGACGTGAGGCAAAAGCCGCGGCGCATTAGAGGATGTCAGAGATAAGTCCGAGAGGTGATTGACGAGCTGCTTTCTTCAGGCTTAAACGATATCGGAATTTTGAGAGGATCATCAGTGGCCTCGCATGAACTGATGGTCGCCCAGCTTTGATCTTCATATAATTGGCCAAGGGCATTCAGCCAATGAAGATATGATGGTTAATCATGACAACGTAAACGAACCTGATGGGAAAATTGTAAAAATTTATTTATACAGACAAACGAAAATGATCTTTCATCGTGAAAATTATCGATATATTATCGTGTACATGATCTACGATTGAACTGCATTGTTGGTGACCAAATTTTCGAGGGGAGAGAAAATTAATAAATTGAAAATTGGCATTAAATGCTAAACAAATCTAGATTAATCTTTATGATAAATTAGTAACTCTATTGAGTAAACATATCACGAAAAATACATAATTTTTTTAGATAGCGCCAAAAAAAGAAATGAAAAAAGTTGTTTGGAGTGAAGAATTTCATACCTCAAGATAACACAGCACTGACTGGGCCTCGACTAAGCCACTTCGCTGCTATTGCGCCAGTCATTTTATTATATTTCACACTAAAAAATGTAAACCATGACATCATCCTTGTTTTGTCATTCCTGATTGGTGTTTATTACACTGAGATATTATGATAAAATTATGCAGAACTGAGGTATTATTACGATTATTAAGCAAAATTCATAAACAAGCGCTTAATGTGGTATTATCAACACCAGCGCTTAGTGTGGGATTATCAACAACAGCGCTTAATTGTGATATCAACTATGAGTTGAAAGCAGCGTGGAAGGCTTTCATTGGTGCTGCAAAGCCAGCGATGGAGAGACATAACAATTAGCGCTATGCGATAGAGAGCCATATGCGTTATTAATTATATTGACGTTCAAAAGATAACGTTTGATAGACCTTCATCACTAGACCAGAGCGTTGTTCTTATTTGATCGAAACACGTTTTATGCAATAAGTGATAAATTAAAGATTGCAAGATACGTAATTTGAAGATATATGAATGTAATTTCGCAATTCCAGACATTAAGCGCTGATTAGTGAAATCAAAATTCGTTGCCATTTATTGCTCGACAGTTTGTAAATACATTGATGTTATCATTCAAAATAGGAATTTTCAAACAAATTTAAAAAATCCAACATTGAGATATCTATTCTTTGCATCAAAGATGAAAATCATTACTGGATATGAAATCGGTGGGTACATAATTTTAACCGAAAATCCATTGCACGTAGGTAATTAACTTACAAGTTAAAAAGTAATTAAAAAAAGATTTGATTCAAAGCATCGATGACCAGTCTCGAGAATCTGACAGCAGGTCCGGTAATGAGGTATTAGTGTGATGTTCTCACCTGCCAAACTCACACACAACAAGCGGAGATAATCATGAAAGATCGTCAGAACTTCCGTTAGCAAAGCACACATGAGCTGGCGCTGCATTCTGACCGCTCTATTGTGCACCGCGACAATTGAATTGCACCATTTATCAAGCATTACAAGCATCGTTTATCGGGCGCGACGTCTTTTTTCTATTTAAACGAATTTTTGTTGGAAATATCCCGATGGTTGCATATAAGCGAGTGCCTCCACCATGGCTGCCTCATCGACGGAAAGCCAGCGTACAGTGCACAGTGATAACGCTCTTGTTTTTATACGAAATTTTCATTGAATTCCAGTAAGTGACAGGTCAGTACATCACTCGTGTTGTGTTGCATCGGAATCAAAGATATTTTCACGTTGTTTTTCGTGGATAAGAATTACGAAACACAAAATATATGGATTATATTAAACTGATAGGTATAATAATAAACACCATTTCAAGTCTCATTTAGGAAAATATACACAAAAAGATGAAACATGTTTACTTTCAAGGTGCTGAAATAGTTGATCAAAAAGAATCCCTCGTTAATATCTAAGACTATAGACATACACCATGCGTTTCGACATCAAGAACATTACCGTGCAGGTTGCGACGAGGAGACCCACGTCAGCAGCAGCCATGAACTTCGTCATTATTTTGGCCGTAGCAAGCATCGTCGCAGGTCACCGCGGCGGAGGTGGCGGCGGCGGAGGATGGGGCTGGGGTTGGGGATGGGGGTGAGAAAAATTCAAAGAATTTTAAGGCAATAAGCAAATAAATTCTACCAGCAATTGATTCTGTATAATGCATTTTATCATAGTTCATACGGTGATATGATCGCCTTCTAGTCGTCATAGTTCCTTAGTTTGAGTGAATCAGGCACACGGTAGCGAGCCCGGATTGGCATTTGCATGATGACCGCGCTCGAGGCCGATCGCAAAGCGAATCAAGTCTGTACTGTCCTCAAAATCTATCAACATTTATTGGACTCTGACGACGAATAAATTTTTCTTGTCTGTGTTATGAAAAAATGGTGGCGCTTCAAAATTTTACGGAGTTCTGACACCTTCGCTTAAACACTAAAAACTGATATTCGTCGAGAAAATTTTCCAAAGTTAAATTATTGAAGTTGAATAAATAAGATAAATGCCAGCGGTTTTATTAACTGAGACGAAAGCTAATTTACAAGCCGAAATTCGTGTACTCGAGCAGCTTCAACTCTGCGCGCTACGCCTGCCAACAGCTGCTGGACCCGCCAGCCAACAGGACCGCCCAAGCGGCCGTCGTCACCACCTGCCTTGCCAACAACGCCGACATTAAAGCCATCGTCGACGCCTGGCCAAGTGAGGGCAATTCATGCATTTATACAATAAGTACTCAATATATATTAAATATACCGGTAGTGGTATTTGCCTATTAATACTATTTTGAACATTGGTGCCTTGCCGCCTACGCCGACATTAAAGCCATCGTTGACGCTTGACCAAGTGAGTGCAATTCATGCATTTATACAATAAGTACTCAATACATATTAAATATACCGGTAGTGGTATTTGCTTATTATTACTATTTTGAACATTGGTGCCTTGCCTACAACGAACGCCGACATAAAAGCCATCGTCGACCCCGGGTTAAGTGGGTATAATACGCACATAAATACAATGCAAACATATAAAGTACAAACATGCATATAGACTACAAACAAAAATACAATTAATGATCAGTACATATTAAATTTAATGGTGACGCGGGAACGTCTCAATACCATTATCGACAAATTGCTACCTCGCAGCGAACGTCGACGTAAAAGCCATCAGGAATCGTAAAATTAAATCTCGTATTGAAGATTAACGGTTTTGGGTCCTACCAGATATGCATTTTATTATCAAAGGCTCGTCATACAATGACATTAATTAATTTTTTGTAATGCCATCAGATTCAACGGTATGCAGCACTCATGCATTGCGTTAAATTTTAAACAAAATAAATACACACCAGATGACTCCAGGTTGGACCTAAAACATTGCCAAATACTTTTCCAGTCAACCCTCAGACAAGCATGATGTCGCCAGCGAGAAGGATTCCACCATTGACAACCAAAAAAAAATTAAATACACTGCATCAAAGCATGTCTTTGTAATACCAGTTTATCCTAAATTTCATTCCGATCACTTTGCGCAAGATGGAAATGCTGTACAAGACGCTTATCAATCATGGTTTTCATCGTTTTTTCGAACTCTTTGAATGAAATGTCAGTTGTATTTTCTATTTGAGCAACAGGTGGACGCAAGCGGCGGTCAGCGGCTAGGGAACTTCGTCGTGGTGGTGGCCACGGTGGCGGCGGCCATGGGGGAGGAGGGGGTGACTGTGGAGGCCGGGTTGCTGACCGCCTCGAGATTTTGGGCTACACGGAAATGGCCACGAGACTGCGGAAATGCATCGCTACGGCGAACGGCTATGTAAGAATAATGCCGAGGTGTTTGTTGATGGTTATTATTCGATCAGTGACAAATAAGTGAAATTTTTCCCATTAAAATCAACCTCTGCCTGTGTCACGCTCAAAATTGCAATTAATATGCTTTATTCACAATCCAATAGCAACGCATCATGTTTTGTTTCAAAGACCAATGCTGACGGGACGTTCAACGTAGCCGCGCTGAAGGCAGCCCTCCTGACGGCTGCAGCTGGAGCAACACAGCTGGCGAACATCCAGCTGGGGCTCAGCTGCCCTACCTACTACCTTGACAGCTACAAGGTGGGTCATCCAGCTGGAGCTCGGCGGCTGCCCTACCTACTACCTTGACAGCACGTGCTGGTGAATTGATGCCTAAGTATAGAAGTGATGGTTATTTTGGCCACCTACACATGTGTTTGCAAATCTATTAGATGGAATGAGCAGTGAAAATGAAGAACATGGCTTAACTGACCCGTGCAAAGAAAGATCATTATTTAGAAGAGCAGTGATACTAGATATATTGAACACTAGATATATTGAAGTGTGAATGACAAAATGAGGATTGGGCGTATAGCTTCGAGTGGAAGAACTGTTTCAACTGAAGTGGAACCTCTCTAGTTTGATTGTGAAAATAATCTCAAAGATAAGTGCAATGCACAATAATGCATTTCTCATTATAACCTTAGTTATCCGTGCACAGAGACATAACGTTCTGCATTTTACCAACTTATCTTCATGGTTTTTGCTGATAGCGTTATTATTTTGAGTAAACGTCCATTGATTTGCTTAGGTCCGCAACTACGTCGAGTGCGTGATAAACTACTGCGCTACGGGCACAGGCGAGACTTCGACTTCGACCTCCGCCGCGACCTCGACTTCGACTTCGACTTCAACATCGACCACGACATCTACCCCGACTACTACCCCTTAAAAAATGGGGGATATTATTCTAATTTATATTTTTTTATTTTAATTCTAACCCACAATTGGCTTTGTCATAATTTGCATTAACAATTTTGAGTGTCAAACTTTGCAGAAAAAAATGAATAATTCAACCATTGGAATTTGTAAAACATTTACACGTGAATATATAAAAAAGCATTCGTTCATGGTTAGTTTATTTTCCCTTATTAGGTTTTATTAGTTTTAGCATTTTAATATTTTACTCTTTCACCCTTCAAATGAAAATAGTCATTAAATTTAAATTACTAATAGTCATTAAACTATTGATTACTAATAGCCATTAAACTATTAATTAGAAATAGGCATTAAACTATCAAACGAATATTGCCATCTGCAAGAAAATAAGGAAATATCGTTTATTGCGTCAGACACAAAATGCACGTTGGAGTGAAGATAAATAAGAAATCAGCGCTCACAAGCGATCGCTAGTTTTGATAATATTTCTGAGTGGCGACGCCTAAGTAGAGATATATTTCTGAGTGGCGACGCAAAAGCAGGAGAATAATTTGCGTGGCGAGTAAACTTTCCGTAGCTTGTTTGATGAAAAAATTCGTACAAGCGACGATCAGTTGGAAGAATGCGTCGAAAATTATGGAAAATTCTACGGCACTTGAATTTGATATTTCAATAAATGGCTTACAGTGAGTTAGGAATAATCAGGCAATTCGTTCCCAGACTCTAGACCCAATTTAAAAATAAAAATATAATCTTGGCGAAGACTTTTTTCTCGTTGACTTCAGCACTTTCGCTGGCAGAACCTCAAATCAAATACTGAAGTAATAAACACGTTGACTCCGAAGGGGTACATATGCGTGCCACGAAACTTATTTCTCCAGGAAGCAGTGGTACATAATCCAGAATAGTACAAAAATTGAATAATAATATGAGATGAAGCAATCGGAGTCAACGTGTTAAGGCATTCAGTCCAGTTAGTCAACGGGAGGATGGTACAATTTGTTCCACGTTCTAGCGCGGCACTAAACGACTTACTGCTACCGCAACTAATCTCCTCTGGAATTATTTTGAAGTTTTCCTGAACTTCTGGTCGACAGTTTTGATTCGATTATTGTATAGGTGGCAGCTGGAATATCCAGAGGCAGGTTACAACACACATCTAGAAAACTGCGCGGTTTCAAGTCATACCTCCTGTGAGTGACGTAACATAATAAGCAAAGTAATGTTTGAAATTCCTAATTGTAAAATTCATCAAATGTTGGAGGGTATTATTATCATAATTTAAAATCTAGAGAAAATTTGATGTCAGGAATGTCAACGCTCTTGGACCAAGTTCTGTGCACTTCCTTGGCACATCAAACTCAGGAATTATAAATCTAGTCTGCATTTATATGACATTTGAAGCTTGATTTCAAGAAGATTTAAACGGAAAAAAATAGTACAAAACTATAATATACAAGCTTTAGGAAAAAATCCATTGATGCTATTGAGATTTCGAAACAGGAACAAAATTTGAGAAATAGAACAAAGTTGTGATTATTTCGCATGGATTATTGAGGTCTTGCACGAATTGTCTTTTCCAGAGTACATGTGTGAATTTCAGTTCACCTGTAGTTATTTTGAAATAAACTGATTCAGTGTCTCAATAATTCAGCTTTTGCGCCAAATCATCTGAGTCTAACTGAAATAAACTCTAAGCCCAACTGAAATTTATTTGAGCTTAGTTATAGTTTTGCACGTACGCATCAACATTTATGATGTATTCCACTCAATGTCATCAACAATCACCAACTATTTTTAAGGTCTTACAACTAGCGACAGTCCCGTAGGTTACCGGCTTCCATCTGGTGACTCCAAACACTCCCTAAAGTCCATCTTCTTCGCGTTCTTCTAGAACTCGCAACGGAAGGAACTTAAATCTGGAAGGAATCTCGCACTCCGCACCCTGTGCATTCACGTTATTACTGTTTTTACTTACGGTAAATTCCTAACTTTTTAGATAGTTTGATGTTTGGTGACGTCGAACACTCTTACTATGATTACTCAAAAAGTCACTCTTCTAAGAAAACGCTGGTGATCACTAGAATTTCACAACACTCAATTTCGTTGGTCGATGCAGTATTTTTTTCAATTTGACAAATGCCGGTCAGCGATAACGCAAGGCCAGTCTGTTGTTGTTCACTTTGACCCGAAAAACAACAAAATATTGACACACATTGACGATTTTCGCACACTTAATGTGAACCAATTTAATCCGATCAACTCATGAAATTGCTAGCCATAAGGCATCGCAAGTATAAAATTAGTGCAAGGGCGCCGTTCCTCCTGTAAAGCATTATATTCCGTGGCCCTGAATGCTGCCTTAAGTTCGCTGCATGAGTCTGGTCTGAGATATTACTGCTTAAGAGGACTATTATCGAGCCCAAGCTCCTAATGAGGCTCTCTATGAAGCATAAGTTTGTTCAGTTTTAATCTTAAAGTCCTGCCTGGTAGCTTTCAAACTAGTAATAGTTGAAATAAAGCAGTAATAATGGCGGTAACAATCCACACGAGACCGAAGAGAATCAGGAATTTTAGACCAAAATACACTGGTGAGAAATTCAGAATTTTCTTTGGCGCATTTCGACAGTTTTGGTCAAATCGTTTCGACTAGAGCAATTGATTCATTTGAATAATCAATAATTCATCCGAATGTTTAATTAGCCAATTCGTCATACTGATCATAAATTAGACAACATCGAAGGAATGATTTTACTAAGTCTACACAGCGTAATCCATTGAATTTGGTAATAAAAAATTATCAAGATTTTATCATATCATTCTTTTACCGGCAGCTGTCATGCCTTAATCAATGCCAAAAAAAACCTGTGGTATAGCTCTTCGTCGTGTCTAATTAAACACTGGTAACAATGTAAGCCCCGAATAAGCGTTGTGTCAACGTATCTATATTCAGTGCCATGCAAAATATGAATTCCCCTCTAATGCCAAGGTGTGACGGGACAATAACATCATTTATGTCATGCAACTGGGACAATCCCAATTCATTGGTAAAATATTACGTAAATTACTATTATGCCGTCAGGTGATACTCATCCGATTATGCATGTTTCGGGGTGACTAAGCTAAAGCATTCAATATGCGCTGCAGTCTTTCTATGCAGCGCGGAATCATTTAGCTGTCGAATAACAGTGGAACAAAATTAGCAGCATATCCATTTGCCACGGATTTTCGAAATTGAATAGAACTTTAAATTATGACGGATGACAAAATTTGCGTTTTGATCGGTCTACATGAATAGAAAGAGGTATTGTTCCGATTGCAACAATACACGTGCAATGCGACTAGAGATTATTTACAGAGTTATTTACATACCACTTGGATTTTTATTTTAGCTAAAAAGAACGAACGTATGATTAAGGCGGACTGAACTGAAACGGCTTGCATAAAAAATGCACTTTGTTTGGACCCACTCAAGAACAGTCCGCAAGTGTACATAATTTTTCCTTATCTCCAACTGTTGTAGAAATACTAGAATTGAATAAAGCATCACACAACCTGACCTTTAAATTAGGTGTGAAGCTTCAGACTGATCGAAGCAGTTACCTGATTAGAATAAGTTTTCTATGGCTACCTTAGTGCGCTCATAGTTGTCAATATAATATTGATTATAACATAGCAAATCGTCGTGAAGTTAGCGCAGTGCAGATTTTTTATTTATAATCCTAATTTATATGATTGTTTCTTGGATATGTTGTTGTTTCCAAAAATAATAAACAACTAATCAATTGAAGTCAGCGGGAATTAAAACTTCTTGCACACGAATGTGAGATTGAAATATCAATTAATAATAATTGTTTTAATTTAGAGTGATAAAATTTTGAGTCGTGAATTTCATAGCAGGTTTGCTTGATGTTGAGTATTATTTTATTTTTATCTTGCAAACGTCTCCTAAAACCATAAAAAATTAGAAAATTTAAAAATAATTTGTAAAAAATTTTGGCGTTGCCTCTTGCCCGCTTCATTGTCCGCTTCTGTAATCCTTTCGTACCGTACGTCCAGCCTTTCCAACTGCATCAATATCAACTCATTGTCCTGATAATTACCCACTATTTGCATATAAGCGGGTCCGCCGGACTGCGATTTTCACATCTAAAGGACGCACGGCAGCGCACTGTGCAGCAGCAGCAGGGTTTTGCTAACACCAGAAGTTCATCACTGCTGGATGAGACACGGCTTACTATAAGTTGTAGGTGAATCAAAAATAGAATCTCATTTTACTTTGTTTCAGAGAGATCTATTAATACTGAAAATTACAGTTAAGAAATACGTTCCAAACATTTATCAGGAATCACGCGCAGAACGTTCAACAATTGAAATCATTTGTGAACTATTAAGATGCTGGAAAAAACTATTAGGAACAGCTCCTTCAAGATATTAGAATTATTAACGCCAACACTGCCACTAAAACATCGAGTCTCAATTTTTCAGGTTCAAAAGAGATAAGCGCCATCAAAATCGATGAAATTCATCTTTATTTTGTCATTGGCCGACATCGTCGCCGGATACATCGATGTGGATGGAGGTGGAGCTTGGGCATGGAGCGGGTAAACATGTTGGAACAATTTGCAAAGAAATAATTGTTAGGAAATAACTATAACGAACAAGGAACTCAATCGGCACAATATTTTACTTCAATCATGCATGTATAATTTAACGTTTCACAAGCCGATATTGTTGGAAATAATTAATTTGGCTTGCCTATTATGAGGATTCCTCCTAAATTGATAAGTTTCCTATTGTTGGAAATAGGAGACAAAAATTATATATGTTACACATTCGACAGCGCAAGGTTTGAAATTTAATGTTAGTGTACATTGTGTTAAAGTTGTCTAATGCTTTGAAAATTTGCTTTCACACCCAATTTTCTTCCCTTGAACAGCTCCAACTCTGCGCGCCACGCCTGCCAACAACTGCTGGACCCGCCAGCCAACAGGACCGCCCAAGCGGCCGTCGTCACCACCTGCCTTGCCAACAACGCCGACATTAAAGCCATCGTCGACGCCTGGCCAAGTGAGGGCAATACGTGCATTTATACGTACAATAAGTACTCAATACATATTAAATATACCGGTAGTGGTATTTGCCTATTAATACTATTTTGAACATTGGTGCCTTGCCAACAACGCCGACATTAAAGCCATCGTCGACGTCTGGCCAAGTGAGTGCAACACATACATATATACAATACATAATGAATACATATTGAATTTAGTGATGATGAGTGGACCACTAAATTCCAATACCAATAATATCTCCTAAGTAAAATAGTTATTTTAAAAATTTCGAAGTATATTGATATCATGCCGATAAAAAATGTACAGCTGGATAGACTAATACTATTGAAAACCTAATTGAGAGTCTCCTTAACGCGTAATGTATGTTCCTGAAAGTTTTCAGTTAAACTACAAATGAAAGTGGAGGGAAATTAACTTACAACATCTCTGACATTCACCGACGTTATTTATGTAGATTGAATTTATCATTATCATTATTGCAGATTGAAGCTTCAGAGAGCTTCAAAATCAAGGGCAAACAAATATTCAGCTTACAACTCGTTAGATTTTCACTAAGGTATTGCGGTTCACTATTATTCATATATCATTGTACAAACGTTATTACAAGATCACATACGGGACGAAGCTTCAGAGCGGTCCGAATTTCTACATAACTTCTGAAACTTCATTGTCCCTTAAACAATTCGGCAGCCAGCGTGTCACCTCGATGGAGTTCACAATGTTTTCGTACCGATACTCAATTATTGACTGCCGATGCTCGCTGAATGGTTGTTGTTTCAGAAAAATCTCAAGACATTAGTTCAGGTTTAGAATCGTACCTTAATACAGGCGGACGCAAGCGGAGGTCAGCGTCGTGGGAATCTCACGGCGGTGGCGGCGTCCACGGCGGTGGAGGAGGACCTGGTGGAGGAAGACCCGGTGGAGGAGGACACGGCGGTGGAGAAGGACCGTATAGTTCAGACAGAGTTGCTGACCGCCTTGAAGCTTTAGGCTATACGGAAATGGCCACGAGACTGCGGAAATGCGTCGCAACCGCCAATGGCTATGTAAAAATGACATTTATTAGTTTCTAACTGTTATTCGTTGATTAATAATTCACTATTTCTGCACCTTTGAAGTGAGTAAATTGAGAAGCAACGATGGAACGTGGTATTGTTTTGAATGAACATCCATTTTCTTTTTGTGATAGTAACACGACATTCTACATATATTCATTATATGCAATGCAATTCCAATTCACTATATATTATTTTAAAGACCAATGCTGACGGGACTTTCAACGTAGCCGCGCTGAAGGCAGCCCTCCTGACGGCGGCCGCTGGAGCCACACAGCTGGCGAACATCCAACTGGGGCTCGACGGCTGCCCTACCTACTACCTTGACAGCTACAAGGTGGGTCATCCAGCTGGGGCTCGACGGCTGCCCTACCTACTACCTTGACAGCTACAAGGTGGGTCATCCAGCTGGGGCTCGACGGCTGCCCTACCTACTACCTTGACAGCTACAAGGTGGGTCATCCAGCTTGGGCTTGACGGCTGCCCTACTTACTACCTTGACAGCTACAAGGTGGGTGGTGCTGGTAACTGGCGCCTGAGACACGTATAGGAGTTAGCAACTTTTACAGGAATTTATGTAAGGATATGTTCATATTGTTAACCACATTGTTAATATGGGTGATTTTTTTTGTGTCAATTCAGGTCCACAACTACGTAGAGTGCGTGATTAACTACTGCGCTACGGGCACCGGCGAGACCTCGACCGCGACCTCGACGTCGACCACTACCACGACTCCCTAGAAAACAATAATAATTGCCAGCATTCTTATTGGCTTCTTATTAGCATATTACCCGAATTTCATTCATTTGCTGGAACGTTTAAATTTTTATAAATACTATGAAATCATTAAATTAATTGGAATATTAGACAAAGCATTGCTTATTAAAGAATTACAGTGCAATCGAAAGAGTTTCGTTCATTTCCTTTGATTTATTTACTCCTCATGATGAGACGAAATACTTGAGTTAAAATAGCCATGACAATCATAACCAGCGGTTGCTGAAGACCACGATATTAGATATCTATTTACATTCGTAACGCATGTGTTAACGAAAAAACTTATGACGGGACATGAAAAAATTGAGACAAAGAAATAAGTTTCTTCGAGGATATTCGGCCAGGTTTCGCTTCTGTTCATTTGGGTCTTGGAGATTAAAAGGTATGAAGCTGTTGGAGAGCGTGCAAGTCCCGCCAAAATTCGTTCCACGAAGTGCCGATCACGATTCTACAGGCGGATGACATCAGAGTGACGTCATCCTGTCACTGGTGTATGGAATAGAAATAAGAAAAATTCATCAGTTACAATCACGGAACATACTGAAGCTTTTCTAGCTCCAGCAAAACTATGACCGTATTTCAAATCCTTTAATCCATTCAATTCATTTAAATTGTTGCAATACGTTTATTCAATTATCAGTTCATTATCGGTCATTAGTGTTGCCTTAATTGAACTGACTATGGCCCGTATGCTAAATAGGGCACTAGCACTACGAAGTAGCACTACGCACTACAAGCCGTAGTGCATACTATAGTGCGACATGAAACGCTACGGTTGGCATGCTAAATAGGGCACTAGAACTATGAAGTAGCACTACGCACTACAAGCCATACTGCGGCATGGAACACTATGGTTGGTATGCTAAATAGGGCCAAAAGCGTAACGCGCACTACAAAAATATGAAGCTTCCTACACACCGCACTTCACGACGACACTACGGTATATTTAACCTTGTTTACTTCCTCAGCTATGGATCTGTTTGGCTTACAGCAAAGGCATCATCGCGTAAAAACCTCAGGAACTACATGCCATGAATATAAAAAAGTGTACCGCTTAAGTGAATAACATGTTATTCCTATGGCTGACATTTTCCTTGGCGAAACAGATGAACAGCGTAGAAGTACAAAATACCATTCTTGTTTTTGATACCATATTTTGAATTTTGTTTTTTGTTTTTTTTCTGGAGTCATTTTGAATTCTTCTGCAAGAACTTTCCATGCTTCTCTCTTTTGTTCGATGTCTTTGGGAAGCGTGGCCTTTGAATAAATGATGGGAAAGGTGCGCAGACGCATTGCGAATTTCAGCTCACCATCACAATTTTCACTAGTACCATAATATACCATCACAATTAGACATTTTACATCAATCTTCTGCAAAAAATGAGAATTACTTAGGACATAATTAATTATTTGAGCACTTAACTACCATTCTTCAATAGACTCATAGCGTAGTGCGGCACTATAAAGTACTCTGACAGCGAAGTAGCACTTCAAAGTCTTTCTGCATACGAATCAGTAGTGCGACACTAAGCGACACTAAACATTGTAGAGCTACTTCGAAGTGCTTAGTGTCTGTGACGTATTTAGCATACCAACAGGACACTTCGTAGTGCATAGTGCTACTTCGTAGTGTTAATGCCCTATTTATCATACGGGCCTATGAAGCAAATCGTCTTTATTATAAGAACAGGCCGTAAAGCGGCTTATAGGATCCCCACAAAACACCTTCACGGACATAGAAATGCACGTACTTCCTGCCGGACTTACGGTGTATGGATTGAGGATCAGCCCTGGCTGAGGACGGGTCACATGGAGCGGGTGGAAGTCGACAGTCCTCGGGGCGGCTGTCGTAGCAGGCTCCAAGTCTTCATTAGAGTTCCATAGATGATGATGTTACAGCAAAGTAGTAGAGTGGGGCCCATGACGTTCAGTTTTGATCAATGCAAGATTGAGTCAATGCAAGAGTCATCACTTCTCCAAAGACGCTCCTCTTTCTTAGAAAAGTTAATTAGAAGTGCGAATGGAGAATATATACATAGCTATATCAGGAAAGTGTTTGGTTTTAATGAAAATTAAAATTTATTAAAGCTAAATAAGATTATTCAGTCAAGTTTATTTTACGGTGAATTTCTTTATGCCCACATTAAGGTTCCCTCAAATATCAAGATATTTGATATGTGTAGACGTACTGTAAGCTCTTCCAGAATATGTAATCAGTGTTTACAGAAGTAGGATGACATTCAAAGAAATTTCAACGGTTTTTATGTGCGATTAACTTGTATATCTTGCTAAGGAATCCTGCAACCCGTGAGAACTTCGTTGGTTACATCGCAAAATCAAGTTGAAAATTTAGGATACTTAACTTGTTGATTAGCCCTTGATACATAAACCCCCTGATATTAACATCATATCTAAGACAAAACATTAATTTATTTGCTTCCATGAAAATATTGATGGCTTGAGATATTGTCCAAAAGGTAGATATTTATATTATTTTTAACTTGGGAAGTTTCGTAGATACAATTTTAATTTAGTTTCTATTTTCGTCTAAAATAAAATAGTCCGTACCGCCCGCCCAATTTGAATCATATTGAAGAGACCATTTATTTCGTTTTTTCTTGTGGTTTTTATAAACGATCCTTTTGCTAAAGCAATTAATCTGCACGGAAATATTTTGAAGTCATCCTGAAATTTAGGCTGTTTGAATGGACAAAGATATGGACAACAGCTGGTATATTTGAGGATGAGTTCCATCTCACATGTGCACAAGTGAATGTGAATATAACGAAAGTGAAGTGAAATAGTATTGAACACAAATTTTGCAATATTATGGCTGTAAACTTTATTCATTCTCATTGAAATTTTTCATACCGTTTGGTTTGAATAAATTTTATTTCGTGAGCAATACCGCTGATCCCTTAAGTTTTTCACATTTCATGCATCACTCACTACAGTTGAAGATGTGAGAAAAGCAATGAATAGACGAAGCAGGAATTTAAAAGCAAAGAAAATACCACAAAAATTCACCATATCTTTATAAGAGAAAACGTTTCGGAGTCCAGCTCCATCGTCAGTTCAAACCACAAAATTCTGTTCAGAAAAAGTTCAGTCCTAGAAACACAAATAAATCAATTAGTAAAGTAAATGCACTAAAAATAAATAGATAAGACATGAAAATAATGCCAGTAAACGTAAACGGCCTATCTATTTACTATTTCAAGAGGAAAGGAGCTAAAAGCGGCATTCAGACTAGGCTTCTGTTTGAATATATACAGGGATTCTAAAATTCGTAGATCACTAACACCGGATGCGGAAGCTAGAATTTTGAAATCACTATCAGATACAGAGGTGTTGCACTGCTCGGCATGAACACGTACAGCA